ACATTGTCTAATACGAATGCCTAGGTTTACATAGCAGAGAAACCAACGTTATTGTAATTTAACAATTTCCGTGTCTCTATAATTATGTCCAGCACTGTATATAATAACATAGACCCCACTTCTTCTTGTGAAATAAAGCAAGAACCTGATGTTTTACTGGATCGTAAATTTTCCTCGCTATTCTGCTTTAAAAATCTTCAAATTGGTCTCACAAAGCCTTTGATGGTAACTCGATGCATTTATGTTGATGAAGAGCTATGGTGGACTAAATGAGATAAGTTATACCTCTAAATTCCGCCAGCATTGTCAACTTGTTTGAGAAACGATTATTTATTTCTCAAAAGGTTCTCAACATTTACTTACTTCTTTTCTATACAAGATGCCTTCATTTTTTTCCAAAGTCTAAAAGAGATATTTGACTCGAAGTAAACTTTATCAATCAGATGTATAGCAATCAAATGCTCTTCTGGTGCTGTTCTCAAGACAATCTTCCATCTGCTCAACGGTTGAGATATATTTATTGTACATGAACACATTAAGGTAATAGTTTTGAAGTTGCTCTGCTTTCTTAGTTCTGCAGCAACCGATTTCGGTTTCATTTGATCCCCCAACAAATGCCTGTAACTTCAATGAATCGCTAAGCAAATGAGAAAAACGTAATCGTAATCAGCATTCTAAGGCGGTCATTGTGATGTGCACCTTGCTGGGGGAAGCCACTTTTTAAACACCGGTTAGGTGTGCTTTTGGAACCAAAACTTTCATAAGCACTGAGGGTGATTTGAAATACTTCTTCAAATGGTTTATTGTAGGAGCCGCGACACTGAAAATTTCGACGTTTTGCGAGAGACATAGAGCTCCAAACAAGATGATTGCCCAAATCTCACTGCAAAAAGTTACTTTTGAATTAGGAAGATTTACCTTTGAGGTGAATTTGGCAGTAACGAATTCACCTAGCAACGTGAATGGGTTGAGTGTGCTGACTTCCAGCAGTTGCCCGTCTTATTTTGTCTCATGTTTTCGTGGAAGTTTATTCAGTCACTCAGGGTGCTGAGTGACTGAATAAACTTTTATAAAAACATTTACTCAGTTACTTAGGGTGCTGGGTGACCGAGTAAACTTTCACAAAAACATGAGACAAAATAAGACGAGCAGTTCTGGTTTGTGCTGCGATCCCTTCCTCGGCGGGGTTGTTAATGCGTGCGGCACTTACAAGGGGAGTTTACTTAATCGAAGTGGCGATTCGGAAGGAGATCTATACCAGTGGATAGAGCTCAAAAAGCTGATCTCAGATATACCTTTTATATCTGCGATGCGTTGTTCTGAAAAAAGTTATGCGCTTTTCTAAAGCCAAATTTTAGTGCATTTCGAGTCGCAGAATTATAATAATCTCTACACAAAAGTGTGCAAGGTTGAGCAAACCACCTAGTAAGCATTGTAGACCTAATTCGAGCTCATTCGAACGCTTTCGAGTGTTTTCCGACCATGTTGTTTATTCACAGGCCGTCATATCCTTCCTAGATCACACTTCCATTATATATACAAAAAAACCCGTAACCTCCATATAGAAAAACGCGTCGCAGATATTAAAGATACATTTGAGAACATCGTTTTACGTTCTATTCATCGGTAGTTTAAAAAAAAATTTCCGACGCGACGCGTTTTTCTAAATGGAGATTATGGGGCTTTTTGTATATATAATGGAAGTGTGATCTAGGAATGAAATGAAGACCTGTGGTTGAACAACATGGTCGAAAAACACTCGAAAGCGTTCGAATGAGCTCGAATTAGGTCTACAATGCTTACTAGGTGGTTTGCTCGAGCTTGCACACTTTTGTGTAACGATTATCATGATTTTGCGACACAAAATGCATAAAAATTTGGCTTCAAAAAAGCGCATAACTTTTTTCAGAACAACGCATCGCAGATATAGAAGGTATATCTGAGATCAGCTTCATAAGCTCTTTCCACTGGTATAGATTTCCTTCCGAATCGCCACTTCGACTAAGTGAAATTCCCTTGTTAGAGGGTATTAATGCTCACACATCGCTTAAACATATATTAGGCTGTTCCGAACGAATTATTTGTTTTTCTTCCACGAATATAAGCCTCGAACGCGTATTCAGATGCTTTTATGCCGCTATTATGCAGGGTTTTATATTTGTTCTTCTTCCACGAATATAAAACTCTGCATAATAGCGGCATAAAAGCATCTGAATACGCGTTCGAGGCACTCTTCTCTTATGTTAGCTATCAAACTAAGTGCTTTCGAACACTTCGCAATATACAAAAACTTTTCGTCCATCATATCTATTCCTCTTTTGAAATTTTATTCTAGGACTGGGAAAAGATTGCTAACAGACGAAACTCAAATTGTTTCATCCGTCGTATCAATTTCTCTTTTGAAAATCTTATTCTAGGAATCTGAAAAGATTGCTAACAGGCATGAGCAGAATCCGAACTGTGTGAAAATGCTCTAATTTCTGTGATGCTTTTCAAGAGTTCACAATAAAATTTATTGCACAACAAGGCTATTTTGATCAAACACGATAACAGCAGCAAATACGCAAAAGGTCCCAAAGTTTTTGCGATCGAAGCCGATTATTGTTACCATTTATGTGCAGGTTTGCAAGTAGGTATAGAGTAACTAAAAATATGTAGCTAAAGGCTTGATCTACATCTTATATATAAAGCTGAATGTCTGTTTGTCTGTCTGTATGTATGTGTGTACGTATGTTCCGAATAGAAAATTCCATTTCTGAACCGATCCGGACCAAACTTGGCACACATACACTTCGGGCCCCGGCGGGTGTCATAGGCTACTTTTCGTCATCGATCAATATCGATTTTATCGATTTTTATCGATTTTTTTGCAGAGTTCACCTACGGGGCTGGGAGTTGGCACAGGGGGGTAATCGAGCATGGGGATCCCGAATACAATATTGGTTTTCAGGATTATCGATTACTTTTATCGATTTTATCGATTTTTTGCAAAGTTTGAGCTACGGGGCTGGGAGTTCGCACAGGGGGGTAATCGAGCATGGGGATCCCGAATACAATATTGGTTTTCAGGATTATCGATTACTTTTATCGATTTTATCGATTTTTTTGCAAAGTTTGAGCTAGGGGGCTGGGAGTTCGCACAGGGGGGTAATCGAGCATGGGGATTCCGAATACAATATTGGTTTCGGGATTATCGATTACTTTTATCGATTTTATCGATTTTTTTGCAAAGTTTGAGCTAGGGGGCTGGGAGTTCGCACAGGGGGGTAATCGAGCATGGGGATTCCGAATACAATATTGGTTTCGGGATTATCGATTACTTTTATCGATTTTATCGATTTTTTTGCAAAGTTTGAGCTAGGGGGCTGAGAGTTGGCACAGGGGGGTGATCGAGCATGCTGATCACCCCCAAGGGGGGTGATCAGCATGCTCGATTACCCCCCTGTGCAAAATCCCAGCCTCGCATGTCAAAATTTACAAAAAATCGATAAGATCAATAAAAGTAATCGATAATTCTGAAAACTAATATTGTATTCGGAACCCCCATGCTCACTTCCCCCTGTGCCAACTCCTAGCCCTGCAGGTCAACTCTGCAAAAAAATCGATAAAAATCGGTAAAATCGACATCGATCGATAACGAAAAGTGGACTGTGACACCCGCCGGGGCCCGAAGTGTATGTGTGCCAAGTTTGGTCCGGATACGGCGGAGCCGGGTAAGCCAGCTAGTAAATTATAAGCCCTTTGAAATGTTAAGGAAACTGTTTCAGAATTAGGGGAACTTTAGGGTTATTGTGAGAAAACGAAAAACATGACTATAATATCGCAAAGGCTACAAATGCTAGAGAGGAAAAGCAGCTCCTAGAGGGAGTGTAAAAACTTGGATCGACTAATATCTCAGTCGCTCGTCGGTCAAGGCTCTGTAAACTCCAGTGAACCCTAACCTACGAAGCTTCAACTTGCTCAAGCACATAGTTAAAAAGCATATGGCTAGAGTTTTCCTCACAGCTCAAGATTCGAAAACAAAAATAGGCGAAGAATGCAATTTTTTTAAATCTCATTTTCGGTATTTCACGCAAAATTTGCTGTTTTTTGAAAACTATGAGAGCTTGTTGAGGGCTGAAAAATTATGATTATAATTTCAAAGATTTGTAGTATATCGAAATGTATGCCGTTGAAGTCCCTACATTGTTATCGTACACATCATATCTCTCCTTCCTTTGTTCTCACTATATAGTCAGAATGTCTGTTGAATTATAAGAGTAAAGCATAAACTTTCCAAATGTGAATAATTCTCAGAACGAAGAAAGAGGAAGATTATCCGCGAGCGAATTTGATTGGACAGCTACCGTGGATAGACAATAGCTACCGAGTTACTGGAACTTCCATGATCACAGTACTATATAATTAGGAACATTTTCTGAAAAAGGGAGAGGTGCTGCAATTTTTGGTAAAACATGACTGCTTCAGAAATGACGCTCTTTTATCCTTACAAAAGCTACTTGCACATCGTCGCTTGCACTTGGAGGCGACTCTTCAATCCCTTTTTGTATAGGTGCTTTTCTGATTCATAAAATAATCAAATCGAATTAAAGAAAATTGCGAATCAAAGATGTCTCATCCACCTACAGATCAAGTGCAACTCGATCGTTGACAACTTTTGTGAATGCTTGACTACTCAGACACTCGAAGGGATACCTCCGGCGGGCATATGGCGCGAGCCTGCCACTTCGCGCTCCTGAGCCCTGCCATTTCACGCATTTTTGTGCTCCGGGCTCTCCCAAATGTGGCGCGCCTCCGGAGCAGAGGTTTGCGCGTCTCGGAGAGGGGTCCCATTCATTCACCGTGACGTCACGGTGACGCCACAAACAGGACGAATGGGACCCCTCTCCGCGACGCGCAAATCTCTGCTCGCGGTGCGCCACATTTGGGAGAGCGTGAAAATGTGTGAAATGGCTCCGGAGGTATCCCATCGGCTGTCTGAGTAATGTATTAAGTGATCGACAGATGAATCTCGTCAACAATTTCAGAAAGGAGAATGGTAAAGTTTGTGCTTACCTTGATCGTGTTACTCTGCGTGGTGGTTGCCAGTGAGGCTCTTTCATGCCAACTTGGAGGCAATCGTCTGTGCTCAGTGTCTTGTGCAATTCAGGTAGTATTTCTTGTCTAGAACTTGGATACCTAGACTGCTTATTCAAAGGAAAAGTTTACGGGAACAGTAACAACAATACGTCGTTTTACTTTAGAGCGAATGGCCTATGCTTTCGGCATTGTCCGAGATAAGCAGCATGAGCATGTTACTTGTAATTAATTACATATGTGGGCAAACAACTTAGATATTCTAAAAGGAATAGTTATGTTGTGAAGCTTGAACCGACATCAATCGCGTAGTGGAAACATATTCTTGATCGATGTCGTTACAATGGAACAATCCTTTCAAACCTTACAGTACAGCTTAAAGCGAGCACGAAAGTTGCGTTCTCGCTCTTTCTGGCGCTTTTACGCTTTCCTGTGCTTTTCGATGCTTATGCACGAACGTCAGTTAGCCACTCAAAAATTGGGTTGAGAAGCTATGCAAAAGCTCGCTGGTAAAAAAACCATCAAGCAAACAGATGAAAAAACTTATGTGAACTATATCCTATCATATATCTGGCATGCCACTATTTTGCATATGTTTTGTTTTGTTTCACATTGTTTTTGCAAGTGCGAGATTGAAGCTTGTCAATATTACTGTGTGAACTACTGTGTTATGCACGAAATTTTTTACAGATGTTTTATTGGCTAGATAGCTGCACTCTGGCAATACTTGAGACAAAATGAAAAGCAAGAAACTTGCAGCCTTACTTTTGTACTTTCTAGACAATAAAAATTGGCTGATCAAATTAACGCAACCCCTTTTTTATAAGCAAGACATAAATTTAGATTTGTAATCCAAAACGTAAAAAAGTTTCTGTTGGAATTGCGCAAGAGTTTCGTGCTAACTTAATATAAATAGCAAATATAAATAAGCAGCATAATTAACAGATGGATTAAGAAAAGTTCATATGCAGATTATTTCATTTCTGATTAAACTCCGTGTTCGAAGTAAATTTATATTTGGAAAATGATTACCGACAGCTTCTTTGTTTAGACATATAATGACGAATTGCAATCAGTAAACCAGTCATTTTCTAAGGGTGTAACTACAACGGCTTTTGATAGCATAAATTGGAAGGGGAGAACAAACAGCTCTTCTAAATACTATGTCAAAAAAAGTAATTACCGGTTCGTTAAACTTTCTTCAAGCCTTTTGGGCCCTAGCTTTGCTTTGCGCATGCAAAATAATCAAGATACTCGGTTTGGCAATTTGCCCAGTACGCAACTCTGTATCAGGCATTATGGCATGACGGATGGCCTGAATTCAGAAGACGCTTGAGGAGAATTATAACGGTTAATGGATGATTATATTTTTGAGACAGTACTTCGAAAAGCACTTAGTTTTCTCCCTTTCCAATGTGATTGAAACGGTTACGAGCCCGCTTTTCGAGACCTCTCAGATGGAGGAGCCTGTAAAACTTTAGAGGAACTATTGGTTGGCTAATAAATAACTTCGGTCGCTTTTCAGCTCTTACAAATGTTGTAGACAAATTTTGTCCAATACTTGGTATCTGTGAAAAGAGCACTTTACTGGGTATTGGACCATATAGTCTGTTTGAGTAAAACTTATTTTCCAAGGAAAAAATCCCCAAAGAAGTGAGAAAGCGCAACTTTCTCATAATGCGCAAAAATGAGGAAATTTGGTTTTCCTAGTGAAACATTTTCAAACTAACAGACCACAGTTTTTTTTCTTGTTCACTAAACAGGCAAAACTTCTCTGTATCCAAACACCAAACTGATGTTCTTTACATCCATTACAGCATGAAAACGAAGCTTAGGAAGTTAAAGAATTTTTGGAAATTTTGCCATGTTGAGGCATAACTGCCTTTGATGATAATAGAAAATCCTGATTATCTGTTATGTGATAGAGGAAGCTTCGAACTATTTTCCCACAAAGAAACGATTGAAAAAATAAGAAAATTTTTCATGATGATTTGTATGCCAAAACGAACTAACCTTTTAGGCCAACCTAATAGTACTTATTGGGGAATGTTTGCATCCGCTTGTGCAGCTTATGGAAGGGCAGTGTTTTTTGCTTTTGCAGGGAAAGCATAATTGGTAATCGCCGGCTTGGTATTTGAGTTATGTCATGAGGTTCATTTTGCAGCACCAATCTTAGAACTGTGTTCATTGTCTGCAGAAGGATTCTCTGAATGTAGTTATGAGCGGCATTCTCCTTTGTGGTGTGTTTCCACAAGAGTACGAGCAGTTCAAAGATAGGAAGTAAAGGTGGCCAAAGGTCAATGGGTGATTTTTTGGAACATTAGGCGGTTTGCTCTTTTGGCGCGGGTATTTTTCGCTAGTACTACGAACGGTGCTTTTTTGCGTTAGATCTGTCAAAAGTATCAAGACCTTATAATAACGCGCTACGGGTTATTTGTGTGTTTTTGTGTGTGTGTCTGTCCCTCTGTTACGAAATTCGTAGAGCATGTTCCATAGAACGTCCTGAGCCCAAATTTCGCATAGCGCATGCTACCAGCGTGAAAGTGCAATATGCAAAAGCACGAGCGGATCCCTTGAGTCCCTCAAAAATGCTCGTCAACGGATCCACTTGGCTTTTGGCCAGCAAAGTTGGGCCTGTACCACCATTTGCGAAGTCATGGAGACTTTAGCTCATAAAATTGAACTAACCTTAATTACTTTACGGAAATGGCGCCAAGAAGAATTAGTTGCGTGGATGTTCACTTTGCGAAGATTTTATCTGAAAATTTGAGAACACTTTTGCACAGAGATGTAGTCCACGGTGATTATTGTCGTTTTGGCAACTACAAACCCATAAAAAGGCCAAAAACTGACTCAAATTTGTACCCATTCTTCTTAGAAAATTATTATGCGTAAAATACCGATTGCACACGAAAATGTTTTAAGAGTGAGTAGTTATGTACACATATGTCATTTGTCATTTCAACGTCAACAAAAATGATTCGATACTGTGGTTGTAAAGGAATTTTGAAATTTTGGATAGTACTGCCTACATCAAAAACCATTACTTTCTCACACATATAAACCATGTAAATAGATACCACTGGGTTATTGACTTTTTTCAGGGTCGCAAGAAAGGAGGACACTGTGAGTGGCGTTATGTCAAATCTGAAAAACGCTCACGTCAGGTCTGCGTATGCAATTAGTGATGCTCTGCAAACACACTGAGGATTACGAATAAAAAGGCTTTGGCAGTGATGCTTCGTTGACCGAACTTGCTATCCATTTATTCGCCCTTTATTCACTTGCAAGAATAATTATAAGAATTAAATCAAACTTGAACCTTCATGATGGAAATCGTTAGAAAACTGTTATATAACATGCACACAAAATTAAGCTCCGAATTTTCAAACAATTCATAGAACCTTTTTGAGATCATTATAAAAGAAACGACACGATCTCTCAATATTACAGTACCAATACTGCTGCCCTAAATTTTACGATATAATCGCATTGTCGCCCCGAAAGTGCCGCATTGCGACAGCTCGCTTACACTTAGGGCGCATGCGCGTACAGATCTTATCAATTGCAGTGTCGGGTGCATCAGCATCCCACTCTCGCGCGGGACTTGGTACCTCTTCCGCAACGTGCTCTCTAATCGTGTCCAATCGTTTGAAACTCCGCCTTTTCCACACCTGCGGTCTGAAAGTAGTCAAAAAACATGTTCACGAAACAGGTGCAGAGTCCATTCGAAGGCGGCCGCAAGCGATGCTGGTGCTCCCGACACTGCAGATGATAAGCCCTGCACATTCCCCTGGGGAGGAAATCTGAAATGTGACGCGTTATGTATGTTGAATATGTAGGAAGGAAATGAACTATCTCTTGCCACTTTACATATCTGCACCATTCCTTTTCTATCTATCTTATGAAGGTTCTCATATCTGAAAACATATAATGGATAAAAGAGAATTGCCGTAAAAACTGAGCTTTTAATGTTTTATGTGGCTCCCTAGGGGATTCCAGGAAATCACTCTACATTTTTAAAGTTATTTCCTTCCTACATACTCGTCGGACTTCGCTATGAGAAGAATGTCCCGTCTTCGTGCCAGCGGAATCCGATGGACCGGTCACATAATGAGAAGAACAGACGACAGATGGACACTAAGAACACCTGAATGGATTCCGCGAAGCCAAACGTCCTCGAGGAAGACCACAGACGAGATGGGCAGACGTGTCCGTGGAACGGATGGACCAGCTGAGAAGTTAGCGACTTCGCCATTGGAACTCGTAGACGCAGCCACCGACGACGACCAAGAAGATCGTAGATGTTTGAAGCGAGGAATAGGAAGTGATGGCAACTTATGTACTGGGGCCCGCACGCCACGTGAGGACAGGCCATTTAAGTATCTAGCAAGGGAAGTCACTTAACTTAGGTCGGCCATTTGAAATGAGACACCTATATTTAGAATCAGCTCGGAACGCTGATTTTAAATATGCTACCCCTAGCTGCGAAGCGTTTCTCTGAAGAGAGTTATGAGCTTAACATGTGTCATCAACATACAACTGAATATGGAAAAAAGGCTTGTAGATGGAATCTGCTCAAAAAATGGTTGAGAATCGAAATAATATCAAAACGAGTCATTTGGCCTTGATAGGGTGTATTATGCATTAGATCCAATACCTAGATGATGATATCGTGGCCTTTGTAAGGCAGCCAACACCCAAGCTTTGTTCAGGAAAAAGCTCATAACTCGCTTTAGAGAAACGCTTCGCAGCTAAGGACAGCATTTTTGAAATCAGCGCTCCGAGTTGATTCGTAATATATGTGTTTCATTTCAAAAGGCCGACCTAGGTTAGGTGACCCTTGTAAGTAAGTATACATCCGATAGAAATGCTGTAAAGTTGTACCGAGGATGTACTATGGCACTGCATAATCTTTTTGTAATAGAAATTATTATTATCATTATCATTAGGAGCTGGGGTTGAGTCTTTGCAAGAAGAACAGCGTAAATGATTTGGTAGTTAGTCGCTGTAAAAAGTTTCCTTGAGCTGATCTTGCTTCTGTTACTACTTGCATTGCGGAAAAGATCGTTGAAATGGGAATTTGTTCTCTTGCTATTCTTAGTTGCACGCAGGCAGTTATTAATGTATCTGCCCCAGCCCACTTACTAGCTACCCCTGGGGTCGCTAGTATACATATACATATCCATAGCCCAACAGTACAGGAGAGTATGCCAAATGTTGTTATATGCGAAAAAGTTTGTTCAATTATGACCACACGTTAGCGGCGAAAGCTTCTTCCAATACATTGCACAAAAACACCGCTGTTTGCTTGTCATAATTGACAAAACGCTCCTTTCCCACAGAAACCAAACGCATGCTTCGGCTTGATTTACCATAGCTAACCATTTGCTGATTCAACACTCAAATCTGCCTCTCGAAAAACTACAAGATCTTGACAACGTGGGACAAATAATGGTAAAATGCAACTCATCTTCAAAAGATGTTTGTTACCACCATTTCTCTTGTACACATTTGTATAAATAAATCTGAATGTCTGTTTATATGTGTGTCTAGGTGTCTGTCATATGCCCCAAAGAGAAGTTTTTATTTTTGAACCGATCCAGACCAAACTTGGCTCGCATACACCTCGGGGCGGGTTGGGTGACGTAGGTTACTTTTCGTCATCGATCGATATCGATTTTATCAACTTCGCTTTTTTTGTAAAGTTCGACTTGCAGGGCTGGGAATACGAATACATTATTAGTTTTTAGAATAACTTGTTTAGCAAATTAAATACTCATGTCCCCTGGGAAGAAAACGTGTTCTTTCGATGTACAATGGTCCTTTATATATATCATCTAAATAATTCTGATAATTCAACAAATCGCGCTAATACTTATCAGCTCAGAGCGCAGCCGACTTGAAGGCAGCTTAGTCGCAGTGTTGCAATCTGACAAACCAGAAAACTGTTCATTCTTTCCGCTCTTTCCTTATTTTTTTTCGGACTGCCGGCTTTCTCTATCGCTTATCCTATTGACCACTAAGGACAAAATTGGTAATTATGGTGATTGTGTTGACCAACATATGTTGGTGACAGTGGTGGACCGAGTGGGGGGCGGGGGAAGCGCCCTCCCCCCCCTCCCGAGAATGGGTGCGAAATTTTCAAAACTTATCTACATGGGTTATGAAAATGTGCAAATGACTCGTTTATTTTTGTAAATAATCAAAATAAATTTTAAAAATTTTTTAAAAATTCAAATTAGCCTTGTAAAAAACATTTTCGGGAGTGTGGCTAACGCCACGTACCTTCATTTGAAAATTTCCCCCCTCCGGACGGGAATCCTGGGACCGCCACTGGTTGGTGGTGATTATGTTAACGAACATAATTGATGACTACGTTAATTAACATATGTTGAATGTTTATATCCTTGTTACTAAGTTTTGTTTTCCAAAAATAAAAGATATTTGATCAAATTTTATCTGATTCAATGGAGGATGAAAAGCTTATTCAAACTACAAGCAAAAATTTGGGTTTATATGCTAAGGAATAAAAGCAGGTATCCCTTCATTCTCTTGCTTATGACTTTATCTCTTGACTCATAATCCGGGTACTGTCAAGCTGTTTTCTCTTTGGTAACAGTTCCTTTTCTCAGCGTAGCTGATACTTTAAGTGTTCGCACATGTTTTATTGCGAAGATACTGCTCGCAATTCATAAACTAGCGGAGTGAGTAGAATCCATCTTTAAACAGTTATAAAAATTGCTACAATTGCGGATGGCATCATGTAAATTTTACTTGAACTTGAATGATATGTTCTAACATCACTGAGCGTTTGGTAGTTTTCATTTCTAGGCCCGTATGCACGTACGTCCCCGCTGTAGAGGGGAGGGAGTTGGATCCCCAGGGGAACGATCCCCTCCGCCGAACCCCGCCATGACAGAGGGGAGGGGAGCGATCCTGATTCCATTATTCTGATTCCAATCAATTATTACAAAGCATTTCGTTCAAATTGATGAAAGATTTTCTACGGGAGCCGGGTTCCTCTCTCAGCGACCTGTAGCTTGCAGTTTCAACACTCTCTTCCATATTCGCTTCTTGTAAAGAAATCCGGACATATTTATCTGCCAGTTTCGAATATCTGTAGAAGGTTGTGACCATTCACGAGAGTTGCGGGGATGGTGCACCTAAGCGGGGATGGTGTGAAGGTTTCAGAGGTATTGATCGAGCGAACCCCAGTGCATACGGGGTTCGAATGGGGGAGGGGATCCCTTCAACGGAGTAGGGGTTTGATGGTGTAGGTCAAACCAGAGAAGCGAGTTTTCTGATTCCAATCAATTATTACAAAGCATTTCGTTCAAATTGATGAAAGACTTTCTACGGGAGCCGGGTTCCTCTCTCAGCGACCTGTAGCTTGCAGTTTCAACACTCTCTTCCATATTCGCTTCTTGTAAAGAAATTCGGACATATTTATCTGCCAGTTTCGAATATCTGTAGAAGGTTCTGACCATTCACGAGAGTTGCGCATTTTTTATTTGACATGATAGTTTTATCCATTAAGGCTGATACAACATAATGTAACTATTAAATTATATGATAAATTGTTCTTATCTTGTTATCCTAACGTAAAACTGCTTTGAATAGAATGAAAGTTAGCAGACTCGCGTGTTTCTGAGTAAAAATCGTCGGGGGAATGATCCCCTCCTCATCGCTCCCCTCGTGCATAGCAGGGATGGCCGCTGGGGATCATTCCCCTGGGGGTAAAGGACGATATGCAGCTGATAGCTACAGCGTTTATGGAGAGCTGGCACGATTTGCACCTTCAGTTATGTGTAGAAATGCTGGTTTGAATATCCGCGGCACCCCCTCCCCCCTTTTTTTCGGCAGCATAACCTCTTCTACCCATTCACTGCATATACGTACACCTTGACTTCTATCATTGAACACCTTTGAGCGCTGAATTGGGCAGCATGGGCGAAAATGAGCAGCATCTATGAAAATAGCTGAAATATAATAGATGAAGAAAATATTTCTTTAGTGTGCCGATCGCAATCACGGCAGACGGCATTCTGCAACGACTAAATATCGCCGAGACACATTGAAGGCGATTAGCGTTCAAAAGATAAGAAAAAAGGAATAATTACTGCAAAAAAGCGGAAGCAAAATGAATTCCCCGCTCGATCTCCCCTTCTGCATAAGGGGGCTCCCCTCCCCTACCCCCAGGGGATCCCCTCTCCGGTATTGCCTTTCTGCATACGGGGATTCGCGTGGGGAAGGGAGGGGATCCCCAGTGGGG